AGGGTTGGGGGTTGGGGTTTGGGGGGCAGGGTTTGGGGTTTGGGGTCGAGGGTTTGGGGTTTCGAGTCTCTAGGGTTTAGGGTTTAGGGTTTAGGGTTTAGGGTTTAGGGTTTGCGTTCAGGTGGACCCTCGCATTCATTTTGCTGTTAGTTTCGGCTGCGTCAGTTCTCCTCCAATTCGAATTTATCATGCAGAGACGCTAGATGTTAGTTACTGCTGCTGCTGCTACTGCTGCTGCTGCTGCTGCTGCTGCAACAGTATTGCTGCTCTCCTGCTGCCGCCGCACTTTGCTGCTGCTGCTGCTGCCGTAGTACTGCTGCTGCTGGTCTGCTGATGCTACTGCTTTATTGCGGGCGTTTTGTCTGTGCTGCTGCACTTTTGCTGCTGCTGCTGCTGCTGCTGCCTTTCTGCTGCTGCTGGCGGGCTACGGGAACTCTCCCGCTCGCTGCGTGTCTGCTGCTGCTGCTGCAGCAGCTGCTGCAGCCGTTGCAGCTGTTGCTGCTCATCTCCCGTTCCTTTCGCGTCTCGCAAGCAAATAGGAAATCCAATTAACTAACTAACCAATTCATTATTTATTTGTTTATTTATTATTCTTTATTTATTTGCTGCTGCTGCTGCTGCTGCTGCTGTGCGCAGGAAGAGCTGGCGCTGGCGACTCGGGCCTTTCTTTCGTCTTCTTCGAATTTTTGCATTTTTGAAAAAACAGTTTTCCTCAGCAGCATCTTCAAGTGGTTCGAAGGAGACTTTGGCAGCAGCAAAAAGGAGGTCTGCTGCTGCTGCTGCTGCTGCTGGTCATGCTGCTCCTGCTGCTGCTGCTGCTGGTCATGCTGCTCCTGCTGCTGCTGCTGCTGGTCACCGTGCTGCTGCTGCTGCTGGGCAGGCTGCTGCTGCTGCTGCAGGCCGTGCTGCTGTTGCTGCTGCTGGTCATGCTGCTGCTGCTACTGCTGCTGCTGGTCACGCTGATGCTGGTGCTGCTGCTGCTGCTCGTCATGCTGCTGCTGCTGGTCATACTGCTGCTGCTCCTGCTGCTGCTGCTGCTGGTCACGTTGCAGCAACTGTTGGACTCACACAACTGATCGTGCTACTGCCTCTGCTGCTGCTGCAGTTGGAGGTGCTCCTGCTGCTGAGGATGCTGCTGCTCTTGCTGCTGCTGCCGCCATTGGTGCTGCTGTTGCTGCTGCTGCAGTGCTGCTGTCAGCTCTTTGCTGCTTGCTGCTGCAGGTTCTGACCTTTTTGCTGCCATACCTGGAGGCCCCTCAAAGCGAGCTGCTTCAGCAGCTGCTGGAAGAAGATGAGCCTGCTGCTCACCCCGCAGCAGCAAGCAGCAGCAGCAGCAGCAGCAGCGGCAGCAGCGTGACAGAAGTGCTGATGGGGGGCTTCAGGCGGTTGTTTGGGGGGCTGAGGGTTTCTTATTTGCCTTATAATTGGCAGATGAGGTTTACTACTCACAAACCCTACGACCCTAGCCAGCACATCCTGTAAACCCCAGTTTAGGGTTTAGGGTTTGCAGGACTTGCAGTGGGGACGCACACGCATTCAAGTTGCTAATGGTGCTGCTGGTGCTGCTGCAGAAGCAGCGGCACCAGCAGCAGCAATGACTAACAGCCCTTGCCCACGTATCTAGGGTTTAGGGTTTAGGGTTTAGGGTTTCGCAGCGGCGCTCGCGCAGCTTTTTTGTGGCTGCAGCTGCGCATTTGCTTTTCTTGTTGGGCGCAAACAAACAAACACAGAAATAGATTAGAAGTTATTAAATGAATAAATATATTTGAAAGATAAAAGTTTGTAAGTATTCAAATAGATTTACAAATGAGAATAAAAATATGAAGGTGTAGAGAGTCAATGCATGCAAATCTTCGGGTGTTCGTACACCGCACCTCTTTTCCCAGTCAATTCGGTGGATGTTTGGGAGTGCATTTGGGAGTAAATTAAATTTATTTTCGCAAATGTATTTGTTCTTTTTATTTATAAACAAATTTAACTTATATTTAGAGAGAAGTTCAAAGGAAGTGGATCAAGAAATATATTTCTGCAGAGGCATTTGCGCGTTGGCTCACTCCGGAGGCAAGAAGTGACCAAACCTCCGACGTATTGGACAATTTATTCGAAATCTTGGACAATTTATTCGAATCATTAAACAATTTATTTGATTTAATTCAAATAATAAAACAATAATTAATTTTAAACTCGAAACAAACAAAAACCCCCGCGACCACTTACTCGCCGCAGCCTCTGGGGTGTACAGACACCTCAAGCCTGCACTGCCTCCGTTACTTCTAATTCACTTTTTCATTTTTTAATAATTCAATTCCGCAATTTCTCGCAGTATAAACAGTATTTACTCCATTTAAAACTTTCCGGGGGGCCCCACCCTTTGCGGGCCCCCTGGGGGTTCCTCAGGGGGCCCCTGGGCCCCCTGGGGCCCCTCATTGTTGGGCCCCACAGCAAGGGGCCCCTAGGGTTTTCTGCATTTGTTAATTTGGAAATAAAGTTAAATTTGTTGCTTTTATTTGGTGTTTTATTCCATTAGGGTTTCACTGAATTGCGGGCTTTTGCAAACCCTAAACCCTGCCCCAAAACCTAAGCCCTAAAGCTTAGCCGCGAAACCCTAAACCCTAAACCCTGAAGTCTGAGGAAGCCTTCGGCAGGTCTTCCCTTCTTCGTTCCCCCTCAGGCCTTGAAGCCCCGCTCAGCGGCTTGCCCGCAGGCCTAGGGTTTAGGGTTTAGGGTTTAGGGTTTAGGGTTTGAGGATGCAGGGGGACCTGGGGCTGGCCTTCTGGAGGGTTGAGGCGGAACTGCTGGGGCCCCACAGGTCCCTCAGGGGCCTCCGGGGGGCCCTAGGGTTTTTAGTTGCTGCAGTGGAGTTGGCTGTATCTGGGGGCCCCCTAAACCCTCACGAGGTTTCTCTTGTCCGCGAAGGTGCAAACCCTAAACCCTAAACCCTAAACCCTACCCGGCTCCGACGCCGCCCCCTTCTTCCGTGCCGCCTGTAGATCCCCTTCTCCAGCTCTCAGAAATCAAGTCCCCACGCTCTAGGGTCTACGGTTTAGGCTTTAGGGTTTAGGGTTTAGGGTTTAGGGTTTAGGGTTTGCTGCGCCTCAGAACTGGCCCATTTCTGCGACTTGTGTCTCTGGCTTCGCCGCTGCCGCTGGCGCTCCATCTTCACCAGAGGCTTCGCACTAAAATATCTCAACACACTTTCTAAGGGGGCCCCCCAGGGGGCCCCCCAGGGGGCCCCCCAGGGGGCCCCCCAGGGGGCCCCCG